CTATATGTAAGCATTGTGCTGTACCATTTTGATTCATTCAGCTATCACACATTGATCATGCATCATACCCATTTTTTCTGACCTTGGAAATATTTTTTCTCTATTTTTCTGATCTTCTAAGATTTTGTGAAAATGTGACAAAGTCATATGAATTGGTAAAATAATGCAGTATAATGTCAATTTCAAGGCACCTTGCTAAAGGTCAGGTAAAACTACAAATGCCAGATCACAGACATCAAGGACTGGGGTATTGTGCATACTATCACTGTTAATATGTAGAAATCACCTACATTTTGTTTGTAACATTTTGGGTCAGTGAATTGTGAAGGGAGATAATGATCACATGAATGATGTCATATTACCATATATAGACATATGCCTGATTACGTAGGTAGGTAGGTCAAGCTGGTGACTGCTAAATAAAAAAATCAACCCCAGGTATTTTTTTTCAATCCTAGGACCCCCTTGCCTTTCTCTTCAATATGTTGACTTGAGATCTAATTTCTGCAAGGAATGCCACTGCTTTGGCTGTTTCTGGATGTTCTTCTCCAAGAATCTTCTTTCTCACATCTAGAACTTTGAACTCCATCCTGGCTGAATCTTGGTATTTTGTTGATGATAAAATGTATGGCTACATTTCCCATTCCATTGACTGTATCAGGGTGCTCTTCTCCAAGAAGTCTGTTTCTCATATCTAGAACTTTGATTTCAAGCTTCTCTGCATCTGCATATTTTCCTAGACTCCTATATGTATCTGCAAGATTACCCATGGCCCAGATTGTATCTGGGTGCTCTTCTCCAAGAAGTCTGTTTCTCATATCTAGAACTTTGATTTGAAGCTTCTCTGCATCTGCATATTTTCCTAGACTGCTATATGTATTTGCAAGATTATTCATGGCCCAGATTGTATCTGGGTGCTCTTCTCCAAGAAGTCTGTTTCTCATATCTAGAACTTTGATTTCAAGCTTCTCTGCATCTGCATATTTTCCTAGACTCCTATATGTATCTGCAAGATTACCCATGGCCCAGATTGTATCTGGGTGCTCCTCTCCAAGAAGTCTGTTTCTCATATCTAGAACTTTGATTTGAAGCTTCTCTGCATCTGCATATTTTCCTAGACTGCTATATGTATCTGCAACATTATTCATGGCCGAGATTGTATCTGGGTGCTCTTCTCCAAGAAGTCTGTTTCTCATATCTAGAACTTTGATTTCAAGCTTCTCTGCATCTGCATATTTTCCTAGACTGCTATATGTAGTTGCAAGATTACCCATGGCCCAGATTGTATGTGGGTGCTCTTCTCCAAGAAGTCTGTTTCTCATATCTAGAACTTTGATTTGAAGCTTCTCTGCATCTGCATATTTTCCTAGACTCCTATATGTATCTGCAAGATTACCCATGGCCCTGATTGTATCTGGGTGCTCTTCTCCAAGAAGTCTGTTTCTCATATCTAGAAATTTGATTTCAAGCTTCTCTGCATCTGCATATTTTCCTAGACTCCTATATGTAGCTGCAAGATTACCCATGGCCCAGATTGTATGTGGGTGATCTTCTCCAAGAAGTCTGTATCTTGAATCCAGTACTTGAATTTGAAGCTTCTCTGCCTCACTGTAATACCCCTGCTCCCTCAACATTTCCCCAAATTTTTTATGAGCATCATCAAAGTATATATCAACCATTTTCTTCTTTGTCATCACACTTTGCTGCATATTGGCCCTCAAATGAGTGACCAGAATCCTTCTGAACTGATATGGCTGCTCTTTGAAGTCTTTTGGAAGAGAGCAAGCTAACATTCCATATGCCATCAAATAGTATTTCTCTCTATCTTCTAAGGACATTCTGTCTCTTCCCCATGCATGAATGAGTGGGTGCATGGTATAGATGCCTTTGGATGAGACCAGTTTGATCAGGCTAAAGGACAGTAATACTCGGACTCCCTCTTTGAAGATGTAATCATCCCATTTTCCTGTTTTGTGAAGCTGAAGCAGTGTGTGGTCTATTATGGAGGTTGCAAGAGGCAAGGCTGACCCCTGCTCATTATCTCCATATTCCTGAGTAGCAGCATAAGAAAAGATTTCTTCTGTAATACCATCAAAGTGAAAGAAGGCAAACATTGCCAGGAGAAACATTGCACTCTTAGCTGCCTCAGCTTCTTGAGAATCATCATTTTTAGCTCTTGCCTGAATTTCTTTAAATGATAGCTCCCAAGTCCCATACACAGTTCTGTTGTACTTAGATGCCCCTTTGAAAGCTGGGTAAGATAATAATCTTTCTCTGTTTTGAGAATATTCATCAAGATAGTCTCTTATGTCTCTGCCCCCAAAGGCAATGAAAGCACCAGCCTGATCAATAGCCAGAGGAATGCAAAAGAGCTCATTCACAATCTTGGAAGCCTCAGCTTGTAAGTTTTCCTGAGACTCACTCAAGCAAGCAGCCTTTAAGAGTAAAGAGATAGCATCATTTTCTTCCATCTCTTTCACCTCAAGAGAATTCTCATGTGAAGTCAGATGTTTTAGACCAGAATTGCGACTAGTTATCAGAATGTTCCCTCCTAGCCCAGATGGAAAATATTGCTCAAGTTCCTCAGGTGTCAGATTATCAGCATTATCAAAGACCATTGCATAGTTCCCTCTCAGAGAGCTAATCCACCATAAAGCAGATTCAGGTGAACCATCCAGAGCAGAAGACTGAGCCTCAGGAAGGTTGCAGATTCCCTTCAGTGCCTGAGTGATTGTACCAACTGAAGATGCATCAATCCAGAAAACATGGGAAAAGCTTGGGACCATTCAGAAACAGGTACTAAGTAATATGATGGAGTACTTACTAGTCAGACATATCTTCAATAAACCTCAAACAAATCTGAGTCTTCCCAATACCCCCCATGCCATACAACAAAAAGAATTTTTGACGGCGGAGTTTATTGTTGCTTTCAGCAGTAAAATGTTCCTTCAATGTTGCGAGAACGTCGGTACGTCCTGTGAACCGAATACTTGAGTTTGGTTTTACGGGAATCACTGCATCGGATATCGTTCTGTTGCCGACGCTAGCGTAGTAATTGATCTGTTTAAAAAACCAATTGATGAGCTTGCAATAGAAGCTTTAGAAAACTTTACTAACAGTATCGGCGACGTTTATGTTGCTATCAGTTATAGCAACGTTCCGAGCATTCTGGAGGACATTTAATTGGCTCATGTTGGAAGTGTAGCAGATGGGGGCGAAGGAAAGAAGCGAGAACGAGGGCGGAGTTCCCATGCCTGTGGGTGGTAGCAGCTGCTATGTTTTCCAAATATGGAAATCATAGCAGCTGCTACGAAAATAAATCCGAGAATGGAAATCATAGCAGCTGCTATGACTTCCATATTGAGAATTGCCTCAATTTGGTAAGTAATTCCCACGCCCCTGTCTTGTCCTGTCCTTTGAATTTTCGACGTTTTTGTTGCGTTTTTGACATCTTTCCCTCCACAACATTGTGTACTGCATCATCCCTTGTTATAAAAAATGTCATTTATTGATGGTAATTTTAGCTTGAGGAATGACTCTGACTGAATGTTATGCAACCTGGCAGACAAATGTTGCAACACAAATCTCAATACAAAGGAGTTGAAGCTCAAATTGAGAAATCTAAATAAAAAAATACAGCTTCACAACCACAACTTTATCAGTGGCCCAGCCCTCCCAATACCAGGAAAGCAACTAGCAGTCACTCTTCTAATCAAAACCAAGAAGTGAGGCCCTGAGGCTCTATAATATACATCTACTACCTGTCTTAGGACCAAGTGTATCTCCTTATGGAAATAATACATTGGGGCAGACACAGAAACTAGATACCCAACAGAAAACTAGAAAATCAACACAGAACATTGGTCTAAAATGTGCAGAAAGAATTCTTGGAAGTGTGATAAAGAAAGTTGTGAAGGGATAATTAGGAAGGATCAGTGCATACATAAATGCCTGTGGTTCAGGCAGTTGAAAGGATTGTAAGGGTAAGGGTCTCTTGATGTTTTGGATTTGTTTTGGGGGGTCGGAATGCTAAAAAGTCTTCATGGTTTTATTTCTCACCCTCAGAAGTACTGTTGAAAAGT